CTGTGAGTTTCTCATAGCCACACAGCAAGGAAGGCACAGAACTAGGTTCTAGAACTCTAGAGCACTGCTTTTCTATAAGCAGCTTACCCCAACTGCTGGCATGGATCTCAGATAGGGCTATTCCTAATGGTCTTTCTGCAATACTCCAAAGGTCCAGGAGTCTTGGTTCACCAAAGTCTCAATGAAACTGTCTTCATCATAGTTCAGTAATAGGGAGATCTTGAATATTAAAAATATGTCATCAGTTTATGTGGTACCAAACTGAGTGTGGTAATAACCCTCTCTTAACCCAACCATTCTGTTCCCATCCAGTCTGGATTTATATTTAAATCACTACACTTCAAAAGACATGAGTCCATGGGAGACACTCGACAATGTTGAATGAATGACCACTGGGGGCCCATTCAGGAATCATGTCCTTTTCGATCTGAAAGAGACCTCAAACGTCATTCTGTCTCATTCCTCCTTTCTTCTGCGGCCTGAGGAGTGAGAGGGGACTTGGGCAAATGGCTGAACAGTACTAGAAATCGCCTCGCCCTTTTTTTCTGTTTCCCAGACCAATGTCCTTTTCTTCACCTGCATTGCTTCTCATTAATTTGATATGAAGGCATTAAAATGGCCAATTTACTTATGTGCTGGTATACAAAATAAATGTTTCTAACATCTAATTTAAAAACACTACTCCATACAAAGAGACAGGGTCAGGTGTTTTGTTTTCTTCAAGCCAGATGGAATTTGATCATTCTGAAGAAGAGTAGAGACTTGTCCTACATCACGGCAGACAGTAAAGCTGAAATTTGAAGCAGTAACCTATTCTATTTTGGGAACAATAGATACGAAGTCAGGAAGAGTTAGGCATTCTAAGAAGGAAATTGTATAGAAAAGCTAACTATTAAGTCAGCTCTCAGAAGTATTTGAATGCAAAGGAGATTAATACAGATAGGGGAAGCTATGGGCACTTAGCGGATGACAAATAGCACACTCAGCCAAAGAGAAAGCAAACTTTTAGCTGAAATGGTACTTATGGGAAATAAATTCAAACCTCAGATGTTTTAGCAGGAAGTCTCATTAGGATGCAACACTGCTTCTCATTATGGGTTATTACATAGTGCCACCAAAAAAAGGAGAGGCGTCTGGGAGGGACAAGGCAGGGCCAAATAGCAATACGAGAAATTTCAGTCTTGCTGCATCCTGCTCTGTGTTAACATTGGGTCCTCTCATGCTATTCTCTCACCCAAAATGACTTCAGAGTGACAAAAGCAGAGATTAAAAGTCATCTATATTGAAATGACAGCTGTTAGGGTAAAACTCTTTTGAGAATCTTATGTATATTTCATTCATCGATTTATTCATTCATTCAACAAATATCTATAGGGTTCCAGGAAGACAAAAATAAATAAGATATTGTCTCTCTCAGGGAGGTCTCAAGAAGACAGACATGTAAATAAATCACCGTAGAGCCGTGTGCTTGGTGCTTTATTTAAAGAACAGACCGAGTACAGCGCAGGCACAAAGGAGGGCTGGGCGGACCTCCTGGAAGAGGGGCTGTTCTTGGGCAGGATTTCAAGGAGGAAGAAGAATCCGCCTGGCAGGCTGTGGTAAAGGAGGGGAAATGAGAAAGGCTGGGGGGGGGGCGGGGGGGGAAGGCAACGGCTTATCAAAGTATTTAGCACCATGCGATTTAGAATCCCATGTGAATCCCAGTGCAGCTGCTCTAAAGCTGTGGAATCCTAAGTAAATGGCTTCCCTTCCCGGAGCCTCAGTTTCCTCCTCTGTAAAATGAGCATGCTCCTCATCCCTGCATATATTGACCCTAAGCATGACTAACAGTGCTGGCCAGCAGGCGATGAATGCTGTTTCAGCTCTAGGAAGCCTTTTTAGAACATCCCTAGGTTGCAGCATTCTTATTATGCTCTCTCTGCAGAGCAGGAAATGTAGACCCGAGAGATTATGGAACTTTCCCAGGATTACACAGGTGAACAAGTGGCTGTGTTGGGAACTGAACCCAGGCGGTTTGCCTTGAGACTGTATGTTTTGGCACTATGCTCTGTGCCCTTCATTTCATGAGATATTGTGTGTAAAGCGCTTAACACAGTGCCTGGCACATAGTAATAAGTTAATGAATTAGCACTATTTTTACTATTGTAAAAATTATGTGACCTAGAAACATAAGGTATGCAGTGTGCAGGTATGGGGGAGGTGGAGACGGAGCCACAGCAGTAGCGGGTCAGATGGCTGAGGGCTCTGTGCCACGCTAAGGTGTTAGGACTTACTTCTTGTCAAGGTCAAGGAGGAACAATAGATGTATCTTCAGCAGGAGAGTGCCTTTTAGATTCGTGGTTTAAAAAGATCACTGGCAGCATGTGGCAGATGAATTACAAATAGGCAAGACTGGAGGCATTTATTACAGCCTCCTCAAGAAATGTTGAGCTCCAACTAAGGCAAGGGCAGCGGGATGAAGAGAAAGACAGAGTTGACTGGACTTAGTGACCAGTAGGGTATGAGAGCCAGGAAGAGAGGAGAGTCGAAATGTTGCCTTGGTGTCCGGGAAGGTGGTGCCACTGCCAGTTGAGATATGGAAGCAATGCAAAAAGGGGTAATTTAGGGGAAAGACGCGAGTTTGGTTTTGGCTCTGTTGAGACTGAGGCACCTGAGAGGCATTCAGGAGACATCCAGTGGGCAGTTTATGTCCCTGGGTTTGGGGCGCAGAAGAGGGTCTGGGCTGAAGCCACACAGCCAATAGAATTGCTCAGTCAGGGTGAAGAGGAAGAAGAGACCAAGAGGGGACAAGAGGAATCTTGGCATGTTAACAGCAGGCAGAGAAGGAAGGCTGAGGGGGAAGAGGGGTCGGAATGGGAACCCCGGGCAGAGTGGGGCCCCAGGAGCCAAAGGTGAAACTGTTTACACGTGACTACATAACATACCTGAAGACAAGACACTTCTGGCATGGGCAGCTCGGAAATTGCGCTCGGAGAGAGACAGGACAAAATTCCACAGGCAAATTTGTACTCCCTGGACAAAGGGGTGAGTTTTTGTCTTCTTTTCTCACAAGTGCCCTCTTTGGCCTTTAATCTGCATTTGGGAGAGTGATTTGGTTATTAATCTTTATCTACAACACACAATATTTAAAATTAAACTTTATTTAGAGAGAATTGCAGATTTGCATGCAGTTGTAAGGAATAACGTGGAGAGGTACAACACAATTTCTCAGAAGCTTACTTTAGTCCCACCACGGCTCCAGAACTTCCTGTCTCTGTCCGCTTCTCCTAAGGGTGCTTATCCTGGGGCAGACCTCTGTACACCGCAGACCCCAAAGAGTGAAGGGCTCACTCAGCTCAGGGATCTGGTGCAGAGGGGCTGGGGCATTGAGAGAAAAGGGAGTTTGGGAGTAGGTTCCGAGGAGGCCTTCCAGAGACGCAGCCCCTCAGGCGAGCCCGTCCGGACAGAGGCCTGGGTTAGGGACTGGAGGACAGAGGAGGTGGGTGCAGGGTGCCTTCTTCATCTAGGCCGGGAGGGCTCCGAAGAGCTGCAATGCTGCTGTGTTTGTTTGTTTGTTTTTAGGAAGACTGGCCCTGAGCTAACATCCGTGCCCATCTTCCTCCACTTTATATGTGGGACGCTTGCCACAGCATGGCTTGACAAGCTCAGCCTAGGTCCGCACTCGGGATCCGAACAGGTGAACCCCAGGCCTCGGAAGTGGAACGTGCGAACTTAACCACTGTGCCACTGGGCCAGCCCGCCGGCCTTTTTTATTTATTTAATTTTTTTATGAAGGACACGTGTTAACACATATTTGTGCACCGTTCCATCACCAGAATGGTCTAACGTGCCAATCTGATGGTGTCTCTTCCCTGCTTAAAACTCCTCCCACGACCCCCCATTGCCCTGAGAACAGAGGCAGTTCCCCGGCCAGGAACTGGCCCCTGCTGCCTGTGCTTCAGCTCGAGGCTCCTGCCCCTCCCTCGCGACATCTCTCATCTCGGGGTCTTTGCTTCTGCACTTTGGGCCTGGAGGGCTCTCTCCACACTCCTCCCTTTCCTTGGCCAGCCCCATTGCTTGTCACGTTTCTATTAAAGGGCACCCTGTCTAGGAGGCCTTCTTCCCTCATTCAGCCAATCCGGGCACCCGCCATGCCCCGTGCCCTCCCTGGCACCCTGGGATCACACTGTTGTTACAGACACTGCGCTGTATTGACAGTCTGTGACAGTCTGTATGCACTGTATTAACAGTCCACAGACAGTACACTCCATGAAGGCGGGGGCTGTGCTCGATTCAAAGCTACATCCCCAGTGTCTAACACAGGACACCGACCTAGCAGGTGTCGAGGAGGTATTTCAGGGGGAAAAGAGTTCTTTGACAGAGCATGCATTTGCCATGATGGACAGAGAGGTGGTAGGACCGGAGCCAGAGGAGCGGGTGAGACGGCCCAGGCTGTCAGAAGAAGCCTGAGCGCAGAATCCCAGGGCACCCCAGCATTTTAGGGCTCTGGGGTTTGAGGAACCCTCAGGGAGACCAAGAAGGAGGGGTCGGAGAGGCCGGAGGAAAGCGGAGAGAGCCCAGCGTCCCAGCCCCCAAGGAGTGTGCAGAGACTGGGGAGGTGATCCGTAGTGCCAGATGTGGGCCCACATCTTCCATCTCCCCTCCGCCGAGCGCCTGCGTCCCCCAGGGCTCCGCGTAGCCGCAGCTCTGCGAAGGGCCTTGGAGTAAGAGAGCGGGGGAGGGCAGGCGTGAGAAGGGGGTCGTTTCTTGGCACTCTTCTGGGTTCCAGTTGTGGCCCCGCCGCCGCGCTCTGGGCGACCGTGGGGAGCCCCTTCCTCTCCGGCCTCAGTCTCCCCGTGGGTACTCGGCTGGTGCTGCGCGCCCAGGCGGGGAGCTGGGGACGGCCTGCGGAGGCAGGGCCGGGTGGGAGCGGACCGCCCACTGCGGCGCCGGGACCTCGGGGCCCGCGGAGGCGGCGCGCGGGGCTCCTCCCCCGGCGGGGGTCGCGGCGCCGGCAGCTGGCGGCCCCGCAGCTGCAGCCTCAGCACCTGCCGCGGCCAGACGGCGCGGGCGCGGCCGGCCCTGCGCGCCCCTCGGCTGCAGCGCGGCGCGGGAGGCGGAGCCCAGCCGAGCCCGAGCCGCGCCGCTGCCCTAGCCTCGCCCGCGTCCGTGCCCGCCGCTGGGCGGGGCCGCCCTGGCCGAGAGCTTGAGCCCGGGCCGCGTCCGCGCGGGCGGCGCCTCCTCTGCAGGTAAGCGCGAGGTCCGGGCGCCGCAAAGTTTTGGGGGGACTGCCGGTCCCTGCGCCCCGGGCCTGCGCCTCCGGGAGCTGCAGACTGCCTGCCCTCGGCTTCCTCCGCGCCGCCCTTCGCCGTGCGCTTCGCCGGCACCACCGGCCGCAGGGGACCCGCGCCCGCCTCCAGCCCTCGTGTCCCCACTCCCGGCGCGGGGCTCGTCCGCGGGCTCGCTCAGGGCCTGCAATGGTTAAATCTTGACACAGTATCAATGTGCTGCTTAAGTTTTCGAGATCTGCATGGTGTAGTGCAGAAAGCGGCAAAAACCGCGAGGCGGGAGACCTGGGTTCAGGTGCTGCCCCGGCCAGCGCCAACTTTCTGAGTGGCCTCCCACCAGCTTGCCCTGCCGGGGCTCGGCCACACCTGGGCCAGGACGGGTTCTCCAGGGACGATCACCTGAAGCACCATGCCAGTGTGGCCATTTCGTGAGTCGAGGGGCGCCTCTGAGTATCTCAGCTCCAGGGCTCCTTGGGGGACGCACAGAAGTCAATCTCGGGGGTCACGTCGCTAACCTGCCGCAGCTTTGGCTGAGCTTTAGGAGGGGTGTTGAGTCGGCCTCTGGGCACAGAGGATGCTCGCAGGGCTGGGAGTCGGGGCCCCGGCTCCTGGTGGCTCCTCTGCCATCCGCGCGGACTGTGTGACCTTGGGCGGCCTAGGGTAGGGGCGTGTGCACTAGATGGCGGTTGAGGTCTTTCGGCTGTAAACTCCGGGAAGCGGCATCTCCGGGTTCCTGTATTTAGGGTCACTTTGGGTAGAGGCAATATTTCACCGAGAATCCACCCAGCACTTGCAAATGTGCATCTAGGAGATAAAGGAGCTATTTGCAGTTGGCTTTGGGAGTCCCGAAATAGATATGGCAAAGATTGGTGAACGCTAGCCTTCCCTCCGTCAGTGCTCTGGACCATCATAAAATATTCAACAGCATAATGATTTGTTTTCAAAGTGGCTTATAGATCAGGAAGCGTTTCTGTTTGATTTGGTTATTTTTGTAAAAACCTCAAAATAGTTGTTTGGGAAAAAATAATGCACTGTTCTAGGGGTCCTGACATAGAGGCCGGCATCTGCTTGTTTCTAGTCTTAAGTGATGATTGGGATGTATTCTAATTAAGACGATTTAAAATCACTCCAGATCAGGCGTCCTTTGGTGGGCGGTCAGTATAGGTGTGGCTGGAGAGGCCTACAGCTGGGCACATGGGTGTTTTCCAGGACGGTGAATTCTGGTGCAGCCACAGCAGAATAGGACAAGGTAGTTAACTGACAGCCTAGAAGGTGGACTCCGTTCCTTTGCCCAATCTCTCATCCCCCTTGGGCTGCAATTAGCGTCTCCCCAGCGTGTGGGTGAAATCTGTTACAATGAAAGGATTCTTATGGAAGTGATCTTATTATTTTATTTCCTTCCTGGACTTCCTGGTTTTAAGTTTCAAGCTTTATGAAATCGGGGGACTAGTGAGAGTGTGCTTTGTGACTGGCGCAGGACAGGGGCAGAGCTGCGGTGCGTGAGTTGGCCTTTCCCGACCTTACTGTGTCGTTGAAGCTAATTTGTCCAGAGCCCTCTACCTCTCGGGTGCATTTGAATCCACCAGTCTTTCCCTCTTCATTCTTCACTGGTTCTGCAGGCACTTTGTCACCACTCATGCAGGAGGACAGCGACAGGAAAAGGCCCTGCCCGCCTGGAGCTGGGGGTCTAGAGAAGAGCAGAGAGGGTCATACCACAAGCACGCTGGGAGTCGTCCCAGGGCCTCTGGGAAGGCTGAGGAGGAGAATTCCAGCTGGGGAGACGGGGAGGCCTGCACCGTGAAAGCGGGAGGGCAGGAGAGATTTCACAGGTGGTGAGAAGTGGAAGGCCGTTTTTCAGTCAAGGCACTGGTGTGAGCAAAGATACAGAGGCAGGAAAGTCAGGGCCCAAATGGAGACCAGCGAGTCTGCCACAGAGAGGGCAGAACACTTCAGAGTAGACGACAGTGGGAAGAGGTTCAGAGGCTCTGACCCGCGGCTGAATCCACACTGGTTTGGGGGCTATTGGGCCTCTGAGCCCCACTTTTCCCATTTGTAAAAGGGGAGTAATAGTAATTCTAAACTCACAGGGTTAAATGAGGTCATGTGTAAAAGTGCCTCACAGAGCGTGTGTGTGCAACAGGTGTGTGTTAGCAGTTCCTTTTATTGGTGTGCTCACGGGCAAGCTCCATAGACGTTGCTGGACACCGTTGGAGCATGTAAATGGTGCTTTTTGTTTTAGTGTGTGTGTTGACTTAGAACCTCACCACCAGGAGCGAGTTCCTGTGACAGTGTGATTTGTATTCAAGGTGCCCCCTAATTCAAGGGACGGAGGCTTTTTGTTATTTCGAGGATGCTCGTCAGCTGACAGCAACAGCAGCCAACGCCCCTAAACACTGTCAGGTGGTGGGAGGCCACAGAGGACTTAGTGGGAAGACGCAGTCCCCACCGCCCACAAGCTTATCACTGCATGCTCAAGGACCCAGGTGGGGGATTCGACAGCCAGACATAGTTACAAATATTTCAGCATTGTCCGTATACGCTGGGAACTGGGCACCGGCTCCTGTCCACCTTAGTGTAGGTTGCTGGGGATTTGCAGTAGCCAAGGAAGGAGAATGGGACAGGAGGGTGAAGAATGACGTTGCAGCACCTTATGACCGTGTGGAGCACCACGTAGCGTCCATGATACTGTCCTTCACTGGTTCGTTTAACAGTTATTCCACCTACTCTGTGCTGGGGAATTATCCCAGGTGCCCCGGGGATCGGAACGAAAGGAAAGCTGCCTGCCTTACTGGAGTTTATATTCAAGCTGGGGAAACAAGAAACACATAAATACATAAATAAGATAATTACAGGTGGTGCTAAGGGCTGGGAGGAAATGAGCAGGGTAATGTGGGAGAAGGTAATGGGGTGCTCCATTTGGGGGAGGCTGGGGAAGACCCGTCTGAGTCCTGGAGAGCTAAAGCAGAGAAGGAGCGGTAACGACGAGAGCGGGGGCAGCGTAGCTCGGTGTGTCAGAAGGCAGACTCGGCCACGCTGCCTGGATTTGAATAGCAGCCCCTCCGCCAGCTCAGTATATTCCACAGTCAGGTTATTTAATCATCTGGACCTCAGTTTCTCCATCTGTGAACTGGGGATAGTAGCCAACCTAATAGGCTTGTTGTAAGGATTAACGAGCTGATATATGTAAAGTATTTAGAATGATGCCAGGTAGGTAGCAAGCACCAAACAAAGGTAAATTAAGGGCATTGAGGAAGGGGACTGTTCTAGGCATGGGGAACAGCAAATGCAAAGGCCTGGAAGCCTGAGAGGGCTTGGTCTGCTCTAGGACCTGTGCTCCTCTCCTGTCCCCGTTTCTTCTCTGTGCCCCACCCCGTGCCTCCCCTCTGCTCTCTCCCTCTCCCCTTTCTCTCACTGCAAGCCCTGAAGATTAGTGCCCCTGGAGGTGCTTGCTGATGTCCAAGCGGAAGTACAAGTGGGGCTGAGCTCACGGTGCCACCTAAGCGAGCCTTGCCCACTCGCTGTGGGACACCCATGGCCAGCATCCCCCTCCCGCCCCGGGCAGGAAGCTCCACAGCAGGGGAGCAATCATCCATGACCTGGGACCTTTCCTTCTCCCTTGCTCCCTCCTGACTGAAATCTAGTCACCCACCAAGTCCTGTCATTTTTACTTCCAAAATCTCTCTCACACGTGTCCCCATCTTTCCATTCTCTCTCTGAATGTCAGGCTTCTGTTTTCTCTGAAGTGTGGCCCAGAGACCTTCAGTGGGTCCCTTGTGTATGGAGAATGAAGTCTGGAGGCCTCAGCCTGGCAGGGTGTCTCCGTTCCGTCTCTCAGTCCCCCTCCTCGCTCACCCTGTCTTCCACACTTAATCCCTCCCAACCCCCAGGTCTCTCGGCCTTTGCTCCTGCATCTGGGCCCTCTGACTAGCATGGGCCTCCGCCCTGGTGGTCTGGCCCATGCCTGAAGAACCAGCCCAAATCCTGTTTGCCCTAAGAGCTGTCTTCTGGCTCTGGTTGTCCCAGGGTTTTCATCTTTCCCTGATCTCCCACTTCACTGCGTACCTCTCATGGAGAAGCCGTCACCATCAACCTTGAAGGATTTTGTGTGCCCTCACTTAGGTGGCCACAGCCGTGAGAAGTCCCTGGGAGGGCAGGCATGATGTCATTCTTTTTTTTTTTTTTTTTTTAAATATTTTATTTTTTCCTTTTTCTCCCCAGTGCCCCCCGGTACATAGTTGTACATTCTTTGTTGTGGGTCCTTCTAGTTGTGGCACGTGAGACGCCGCCTCAGCGTGGTTTGATGAGCAGTGCCATGTCCGCGCCCAGGATTCGAACCAGCGAAACACTGGGCCACCTGCAGCGGAGCGCGCAAACTTAACCACTTGGCCACGGGGCCAGCCCCGATGTCATTCTTCCCTCTGCCCCACCGCCCTTCTCATGGAGCCTAGCCCTAGTCCAGGCCTGATACGTGTTTCCTGTATTGGATTGACAAAAGCCTGTGATTCTCCTGACATCTGAAATGGTTTGAGTTAAGCCAGAAACAGATGCTGGTGCTCATGGATTGTGGTCCTCAGCTGAACGTGCTCGTGGCATTCTGAGGCCTCGAAATGTCAGTCCTTCATTTGACGATAAATTGATGTAACCTCAAAAATGAGTCTGAACTTTGAATTTAGCTTTCAATATAGCCTATTTTAATATATATACTATGTAAAATTAGATAAACTTCAAGCTAGATACATTTGACAATAATTGTTTGTGTTATAGAAAGATTCTTCACCATACCAAAAGATCTGGTATGGAAAGCTTTCGAATGCTAAACATGCCTATGAACTTAACACCATTCGCTATATAAAATTTTGATTTCTGCACAGCTGTTGTGGCTGTTCTTCTAATGTAGTCTAAGATATGCACCAAACTTAATATGCATTCATGGAAGCAGGGTAACACTGTCTTAAATTTGT